TCAATACTGTGCAGTCAAATCCGCTGATAAAGCCACACTCTATGCAGCAATGTAGCCAGGCACGTGGACTGACTGTGCCACCCCATGTTCAGATGTTACTGGGGCAGCACCCTCAACACTTGCAGGCAACTGGAATATTGTTGGCTCACATGTGGTTATGTGGTAAGATTATGTAAGTCTTTATGTAATCTACATCAGGGAACGTGAATGACATCCTCGATCCGTTGCCATGAGGGAGCTCTGTGCTGCAGGCCTGCCAGTAGGTTGCAGTGCTCTCCTGATACTGAGTGGAAACATGCAGTAGACACACATTTCACAGCAAACAATCCACATCCATTTATTGAAATGTTTCCTGTAAAATTGAGCATGAGAAAATGCTTTTTGGTCATCCTATAATTAATTCATCAAAAATCCTGGAATTGTTCTTCATGTATTCACACAAGCTTTTAGTGGACCGATATACATGCCCAGGGGGACAACATGTTATGAAAAGATAATTTATTCTGGGTTTTAAACGTCTCTATCTTTACACAGACCATGTTGCTGCCTCGCAGTGGTGTGTTTACATCATCCACACGTGGCTCTGATCATACACCTGATCTCTTATCCTCTGTAATCTGATTCTATTCGAGAGATGTGAAGAGTATTCATGTGAAATAAGGACACACGTCAAACTGAATTGATAAGCTAAGGCTAATCCATGTGCAAACAAACTAATCCCTCCCTACACAATTATGTCATCAGCCTGACAAGTAACATTGACACTGAGCAGCTCTTGTACGGATGTTCCTCCCTCACGTTGGTGGAAACCTGATGTAACTCTCTGTGCCACAGGTGTCCCAACCTGCTCTGGCTGTCCCTGTCTGGCTGTGGACACATCACCGACCAGGATGTGATCTCTGTGCTGCAGAGCTGCAGGAAACTGCGCTGCCTTCACCTGGAGAACTGTGTCCGTATCACCGACTGCAGCCTGCAGGGTGTGGCAACACACGGAGAAAGTCTGGTGGAGGTAAAGGTGGACTTCTGCAGGAACGTCACTCAGGCAGGGCTGCAGGCTGTCAAAGAGAAGAGGCCGTGCATCCAGCTGAGCGCAGAGAGGAGCGCTGATATGATCCCCGACAGCAAGCCTGAGGAGAGGCTGCCACTCAGGAGGACTCTGCAGAAAGTCCTGCAGTTCACCTGATAGAAGAGCTGGACCACAAGGAAGGGCATTTATTTCAATGTTTAACTTATTTAAAGACTTGACTGTGAAGTATTTTTGCTCAAATTGGTGTCTATTTATTAGATGTGTTTTGCACCTATTTTGTACTTTTATACAATACACATTGAATATGAGTCTTCCTTAAAAATACATGTGCCTTTTTAAGCTGTGTCTGTTCCATGTTATCCTAACCAGGGATAATTCCATTCAATCTCAAAATTAAATTTTAGGCTGTGCCTTAATCGAGATACTTCAGTAAGTACACTGTGTATACTATGTACTTACTTGCATAGTGTGTGCAGTTCATTACGGTATTAAAGCGAAGTGAGACACAGCATTAGGGTATTCATTCACAGGTTGCCTTATCAGTAATTCACCAGCAACAAACATTGAAATGCAGCATTGATATGATTCCATTCTTAAAGAGTTTGTCACTTGTGAAAAAATGCTTCTTTGTCAAAGGTTAGTGAGACGATCAATACAACTACAACTACCACGTCTATATGTTAACTTGACCTTACAGTCAGGCTAGCTATTTCCAGTTTTTTATGCTAAGCTATGCCAAGCTGCTGCTCCAGCTATTGACCATTCAGATGCAGGAGTGGTATCCATATTCTTATCTTATGCTCAACAAGAAAGCATATTAGTGTTTCCCAAGATGTCAAACTATTCCTTAAATAGAACTTGATAGTTTGATTAAGATATAACACACTTTCCCCAGAGGACTTTCGCGCTCCTACACAGTACGAAAGAACAAAAGGTGTGTGTGTGATCTGTTTATGTTGCGATAAGATGTCAGAGCTGGGAGGAAGAGTTCTCCGAGGACAAATTGTCCCTGCGCCTGTGATTGGATTTACGCTATATAAGGTTGTGAGACATATGCAAGTAGGTTGAGTGCATCTGTCTGTAAATGCCATGTGACCAATGTACCGCTGCAGGATGCTGCCCATCCTGTGAGTGCATCTCTAAAGAATCAACATTGATTTTCACACAAGGTCAATTTAATGAAGAAGCCTTGTTTTCTATTCCTACAGGACATGGGCTCAGATATTTTTCTTGAACTGAGTGGAGCAAATTTAAACTTTTCCTTTTTAAAATGTTACAATACTGTTTTTCTATGAACTGTGTTTTTTTACTTGGTGTGTATGAGTGTTGTTTATTTATATATTTAAAGAAAAGGACCATTGCTTTGCTATTACAAAAGCAAGCACAAATGGGACCAGGATTGTATGTATGATTTCTACTTTGGCAACAATGAGGTGTGTATTGATCCGTTGTTGCAGTATTAAAGAGGACGTATAATGCTCATTCTCAGGATCATTTTTGTTTCTTGTGCTCCTACTGTGACATGTTTACATGCTTTAAAGTTGAAAGAGATCTTTATTTTTCTCATACTGCCGGTGCTGCAGCGCCTCTTTTCACCCTCTGTCTGAAACCTGAGCTCAGTCTGCTCTGATTGGTTAGCTGGCCGGCTTTATGGTGATTGGTCAACTGCTTAGCGATGTCCCGCCCCTTAGCCTAAGACAGACAATATTTTCGAGCGCTAGCCAATAGAAGCGTGAGTGTAACAAAGTAATTTCACTATGTTAACAAAGGAGTCCAACAGAGGTGTTTCAGGCAGGGGGGTGGGGGGTAGTGTGTAAACAAATTAAAAGAGTTATAGTTATAGGCACTTTCTCTCGGCATCATCATACAAATGTAATTTGCTGTATTGCATTAAGTAACAGTTTATATTTTCTAAATACGATTTTTGATACGTAATGAAACATAATGAACAGTATGTATCTGGAGTCCATTTGTTGAAGACAAGCATTGAGAATACATCAATATATTTCCAGTAAAACCCAACATTAGCACATTAAGTTGATAAGAGTCAGAACACATTTACATTAGATTCAATTAAATAGATAAAATGATGTTAAATATGTATGCAATCTCTCCTTATTATGGCTCTGTATGTAAATGGTATCTATTTAATGCAAAGCAGCCATGTGTGAGGATAGCAAAGCATGTGCTGTTTTCATATAAAGAGAAAGCCCCAAACCATTTAGTTAAATACAACGGCTTTTTCACGATTACAGAGGGTCACTCTTTAGAGTCCAAACATCAAATGCTGCATTGTTCACCATAAAGAGATATGCCTTAAGTGATTGTTAAGATTTATGGGTTCCAGGTGGCAGGAGTCCTGAGGCACATCCGGCTGCATACAGGACGCAGACATGTAACAGCACAACTGTATCAAAGCATACCTCATCTCCACTAGAGGCAATGAAATGAAAAGCCGATCTTGAAAGACCTGTTGCCCAGATACATGTCCTAAAAAGCACTGCCTTTTGCAGAGCAAGTTCTTCAGTTTGAGGCAGCTGCAGCCTTTTAGTTCCTTAGCAATACTGATGTGAGTAACATCGTGACTCCTTATTTATGCAGCTCCTTCTGTTGGTCTGAATTTTGAATAAAGTATCCAAGTCCAGCCTTCACTCAAAATGGAATCCATGGGAAAGTAATGAACAAAAGGACAGTTTGTGCCTGAGAGGAGTGGCCACTATGTTGATATTGTCCTTTTATACGATGATCTAATCAACCGTTTTCTGTTTATAAGACTTTATGTTTCACCATTAACTAAATTTACTCTGTCTGGTATCTACTATTCAGATCAGTTTTTTTTTTATCTCCACTAGCAAATTCAGATAAATTGCTTCCTCTGTCAGTTCTGTTGGTCACTTTTATTTCCCTTTCTCCATGGTTGGTACTTTTTTGACCAAAAGATTATTTCATGAGTGAGCTGGTGTAATATAAATCCTGAACGCCCACATGCTTCTGTCTAAACTATGGATTGTATAGGGGCTCAAACTTGTTTTGGAAGACCCTGCCTCAGGTGAAACAGACTGGGTCGTGGGGGGTTGGGGCAAACTATGTCTTCAAACAGACCACACTTTACAATTATATCATTCTTTTATGAGAAAAGTCTGCTAGACAGTTCATGTTTTAAAAGTGCTTAAGGGGAATATTGTGCCAAAAGTTTCCTGGTTGAAGCCAGATAAAACATTTCTTCTTTATGAGCTGCTTCATATGAAATCCCAGAGAAAGAAAAAACGCATTGCCTAAGGGGAGTTTGCAACAGGTGACACTGCCAATTTTCTCTTTTTTGTTTTTTATTATGTTACTAACACTGAGAGCGTATGTTTGTATAAACTTTGCATCTACTCGTTTGCTGATGTACTTTCCATATTTATATAGCCAACAAGACAGGTTTAAGTTTCTGAAAAACATGTTTGATGATCATATTTGCTAAACTTATAATGTATTTTGCTGTAGAATCTTTATTTACAATGACAATTTAGAGGTTAAATAAAGAGTAGAGTGAACAGTAAAATAGCTGTCAGCGAGATATAGCCTAGTGAAGTAGATGTTTAAAGTAGAATAAACAAGGAATAAATAAATAGGAATCTCAAAATTGTACATTACTACTTGTGTAAATGTAGGCATACACACCAGTGCAGGCCACTTCCTCTGAGAAATGTAATAACAAAATTATTGCTCGACTTCAGATTATCTTCTGACCTAATGCACATTTTAAATAATACAGCTCTGCATACTGGTTTAGTAGTATCACTTGTGTGTGGCTGGACACATCTGAACTAACAAAAAAGACAACAAGATTTCATTCACTATATTCAAAATGAGGTACAAGTTAATTCTAAGGAATTGATTAAATGTGAAACGCTCTCTAGCTGTCTAATCATTATAATCATCTGCTCTAATCACTACAAGTGGCTTCATGTGGAGAGATGAGAGCCTATGATGCAAATAATGTCTTTTAAATTTAGTTTGGAAGAACCTCCATTCACACACAGACAAACGGGTTTAAGTAGGTGACAGTCACACGGATGTATGAAGAGAAGACTGACAGTAGCTTTTCATATTTTTTTGTTTTTCTCTGTAGCCATTTATAAAATTGCATTACCCAAAATGCAACACTGTGTGTGCTGCGGCTAATGTAGTTAGCACCAAGCTGAGACGAGGAGCAGCCTGCAGGTGTGTGGTAAACTCACTTCTTTCTAACTGCACAACTCTTATTACTCGGGCCCAACTTGTGGTGGATGTGGTTTAAATATATAAATATTTATATATACAGTCTATCTATGGTTTAAACAAACACAGTTGCTGGAATTGTATTAAAGTTTTTGAAACTAAAAAGTCTTAAAAGGCCCGTTTTTAACTATAAGGTTTTAACTATTTCATAGCACAACTTTTTTAAAAGATGGCTCACATTTTAATTGGTTGGATTGGAGATGGTAGAGCAACAGAGAGTCCATGATATTATGGCACAAACGACTACAATATAGCCTGCCATCAGCAGAGCAAATTCACCATATTCACCATACTCACCATATATGGTGAAACAGTCCTGTACTTGAGTACATTTACTCAAGTACTGGACTTAAGTACAATTTAAGGGTACTTGTACTCTACCTGAATATTCTCAGCGCTTATGCTACTTTATACTTCTACTCTACTACATTTTAGAAGCCAATACTGTACTTTTTACTCCACTACATTTATCAGACAGCCTTTAGTTACTAGTAACTTTTTAGATTATTAGCTAATACATTTTAATTATTGAAAAAACTATTGATATATACAGTTATAGGTTAATATATCCAGCAGCAGTATATAACATAATTCAAATGAGCTGTGCCTTTACCAGCTAGGATAAACACATTAACATCAATAATTGTAATTCATTCATTTAATATCTGAAATACGCATAAGGAGTACTTTTACTTTTGGTACTTTAAGTATATTTTAAATAGGATACGTTTTTACTTCTCTCTAAGTAAGATTTTGAATGCAGGACTTTTCCATGTAACATAGTACTTCAACAATTTAGTATTAAAGATGTAGGTACTTCCTCCACCACTGACCATATAACATATAGAGGCTTTCAGGATGTCAGCAGGCACTGAATCCAGCATCTTATCTGAAGGATTCATGCTGCCAGAGGTCCTTTGTGGAGCCGGTAGCGCGGGCCTATCCCCCAGAGTGACATCTGAGCTGATAAAGACGGGATACTGGCCGTAACAGATAGAGGGGCACTGAAGCTATGGAGGTAAACGTGAACAGGGTAGTCATTTGAGCCCTAAAACTTGAAATCAGCCGTTTCCTGACATCCTTATAAGGTCAGCCATGGGAGCCATTTCAAGTATCCACCCACTGATTACTCACCCATGAATGGGAGGAGGGAGGGTGTAGAGACTTCAGAAGAAGTGAGGAAGGAAAAGAGGGAGGATTTGTGTTTTTGAAGTACTTTTTTTTGCGAGTCCGTGATAGAGGGAGAGGCTTTACTGTACCCCATCTCAATAATGGAGGAGGACGTCCTGAGCCTCAGTGTGATAAGAGATGCAGAGTCATTGGGTTGAAGCAACTAATCAGTATGTGCTACTTTTTACAACCCGTGCGTTTGAGCCTGAGAGCCTGGGCTGTAGGCAGTAAAACTCTACAGTGAGGATGAGTAATGCGGTCTAGACAGTGGAAGCATGTGTTATCTCCTTTTTTATGAAACCTGTTGTAGACTCTTCACTTTCTACCTTCTTACCACGTGTGAATATTTATGTGGGCGGCGAGCACATATCTTTAGTTGATTAGATAACTCTTACAAGGTCTCTGTCGAGTGTAATATAAAGGATATTATATAATATAGCAAGGGCTCTTAAGTAAGATTTATTTGCAGAACTCTGCCTTATGATTAAGTATTATTATTTTAGAAAAAAAATCGTTCTAATACTTTCTCAAACCAGATTGATTTTTTTATCTATTTTTTTATATTAGAGCGTAGTGCAGCTTGATTTTTTTTTTTATCCGGGAGATGCTTGGATGCACTTTCAGGAACATGAAATGTGGATGAATAAATTACATAAATCAAATCCTGCCCCTTGAGGCTTATTTTAAAGGACATTTAGCTTGTTGCATCGGTGTGCTTTAACATCATGTGCTATTTGTCATTGGGATGGAGTCTGTAGATGGACTATTTTGATAACGTTTCAGAGATTTGAAGCCCCTGTTTTGATTTAGGATTCCTAATTTTCTATATTTCCTGCCGCAGTTATTCGAAGATATATAGCTTGAGGCCTCAGTTGTTAATTATTTATCAAGTTATATATATATGCAGTATATATAGACATTTATCATTCTAGATAAGATGAATCCAAACCAAGATGCACATAATTCTATTTATATTTCAAAATGTCTGGCAACACAGCAAATTCAGGTCTTTCAATGCTGGATTCAGAACCTGAGAG